GTGCAAACTTCCATTGAATCCTTTCAAGATCAAGTCTTCTGGCGTAGCGGTAAGTTTACTGTTGTAGAAAAAAGGTTTTACTTGGTGTTCAGATGCTAGAAATCGATGCTTTTCTGTTTCCGATAGACTCGATTTTGACTCAGACTGTGGAAAAGGAGAAAAATGTTTTCGAAACGTAAGTAAGCCTCGTAATATTTAGCGTAGAATTGAGCTAATTACAAATAAGATAAGCTTACTGATTGGCTTATATATATCACTTAAACGAAAAAAATTACATTGTTGCAAATACTTGCAACAATTCCTGTCATAAGTTGTGAAGCCGAGAGGACATTTTCTGCTTTAAGGCGAATTAAGCCCTTCCTGAGAACAACCATGAAAGAKGACAGGCTYAACRGGCTCACTATGCTGYACATACATAGAAACATTCCAGTTGACTTAAATGAGGCCGTTGAACGTTTTGCWAGAAAGCAGCCAAGAAAGCTAAGCTTCTCTTATTATAAATGACATTTTAGAGAGACTTAGAATGACCGTTGTACAAGTAAGGTAAAGAATATATTGACCTTGAAAACTTAATTGTGTAATTATTGAAGCTAAAAACGAAGTCCAGTAAAAAACGTGAAAAATCATTTCTACCTACCCCTGTTATTCAAAGCCTCTCTTAGATCACAGTCCCCCCTAAATTTCTGGATGGATCCGCCCTTGCTATGGATATCTATTTCAAGCATGCATACTCACTTCAAAACAGAAGAATAGAAAAGAAAAATACATGCTTTATTGTCTTTATTCGGCTGACTCGTCACCAATCGTTTTTYATTCGCGGCTCTCAAAGCATCARTGAATGTAAAGAGGAAAGARGAGAGACCTSTCCTTCTCTAAACGCGCTGTGGAAACGGCCTAGACGACTGGGACGAGTCAGTTTATTTAGATCATAGATTATAGAAACAGGAAAGGAGTAATATTTRAATATAAACGCCGTTATCTTCTCTGCTGGAGTAAAATCAATGCGATACATAATAAATAGTGCTTTATTATAAGACGTGTACTTTTGTGTGATTAAAACATAGCTTTAAATGTATCAACACCGCAAGTACCTTGATGCCAGTTGACTTTTCCATTAGGTGGCATGCGATAATCAGGGGGACGCTATGGTAACAGCCAGCATTGTCATGACGGTAGTAAGCTGTATTGATATCGGGATTCTCCTGCTTGATTGTACAGAGTGTATGCTCCATTATTGGAATAACAGTGTCTGTGTCCTGATTGCAGTTCTTTGCAATATGGACGAACGTCTGTTGTTGTAGCTCCCCTGTAGGCGACTTGTGATTGACAACAGAAATATGCCATGAAATTNATAAAGATTACAAAAGCATAGATGCAAACAAGCTAAAACAGAAATCTGACTACTTTTGAAAAGAAGAAAATCCCCTCCCCTCCCCCCAAAAAAAATCATTCACAAATTAATTTTCTTATTGCACGAATGATTGCACATATATTTTGGCAAAGAAAATGGTAAAAAAAGTAAGGACATAAATGATTATTATTTGTGTGTTCTTTCATCTAAAACAATCCAGTTTGTGCGGTATTCCTGTGTTAATGTCACGCAATCTTTGGTGTTGTGTTTGTCAATGAGCTTTACCGACCGAGTTTGATACTGAAATGACGATGGATTTCTCTACACCTTTAACAGCATTCATATTCTATGGTCAGGTAATACATAGGTACAGCCGGCAGTTTTTGCATAAATCTAACTTCAAACGAACAACAGTGGCTTGAGTTAGCGAATGATTGGACTCAATTCAGCTTGTTCCGAGGATCTCTCAAGACGTTTTAACTGAATTTACACTCTGTTGATGCGAATAAAGCAGTATATTATATCAAGAAGATGTCTGTTTGGGAATCCCATGCGAA